CTGAATTTTCAATAGATCTGCCAGTTCTTCCTTTTGTCTTGATAGCATATTCTTTGTCAAAATCTTTGTCTTATCTTTATTTATTTTCAAACCAGCCACCTTCCCATATGTCTCTATCTTTTCTATCAATTTTGATGCTGTTTCTAGTGGGTCTTCTAAAATGAAAACCAGATCATCTGCAAATGCTTGCAACTTGAATTCTTCCTTTTTAATTTTCATCCCTTTTATATCCTTTTCTTCTCTAATATTTCTGTTTAACACTTCCAAGGTTAACACAAACAACAAAGGTGATAGTGGGCACCCTTGTCTTGTTCCTTTTCTTATATCAATAGAGTCTGTCAGTTCTCCCTCTGTCATTACCTTTGCTGTTTGGTTATGATATATAGATTCTATTGCTTGAATAAATTTTTTACCAAAGCCCATCTGTTCCAGCTGTAATAACATGAATTGCCAATTCACATTATCAAATGCCTTCTGTGCATCTAAAAATATCAAAGCCATTTGCTTTTCAGGGTGTGCCTCATAGTATTCCAAAGTGTCCAAGATTACTCTCATATTGTCTTTAATTTGTCTCTTTGGCAGAAATCCATTTTGATCAGGGTGGATAAAATTGTTTAAGTATTTTTTAAGTTTTTCTGCCAATATTGAAGCAAAAATTTTATAATCTGCGTTTAGTAAGGAAATTGGTCTATAGTTCTTGATTTGTAATGGATTGGCCTCCTCTTTTGGGACAAGTGTAATATAAGCTTCTGGCCATGATTTGGGTATCTTCTTTAACATAACTTCATTCATAACTTCTAGCAATGGAAGATTCAACGATTCTTGTAGTGTTTTATAAAATTCTGCGGGAAGTCCATCTGTGCCTAATGCCTTTCCATTGTTTTGCTTCTTAAGTGCTTCAGTTAACTCCATCATCGTTATATTACTTTCTAACATTGTTTCAATCTCTGTAGGTATCTGGGGTAGATTACCATTCTGTAAGTACTGTTTAACTCTATCCTCATCAATATTCTCTTGTGTGTATAGTTTCCCATAATAGTCTCGTATAATTTCCTTCTTCTCTTTACTATCATAGCAAACTTGGCCTTGGTCATCTATTAATTGCAATATTTTCCTTGATTCTTTCTCCTTTCTCAATTTGTATGCTAACCATCTACCTGGTTTATTTGCATCTTCAAAATAGTTCTGTTTCGCACCTCTGATTTTCTGTGCTAGTTCTTCTTTTTCCATTAGTCCCATTTTCTGTTTAATTATGTCCATTTTTAACTTAATGTCCTTTTTCTGTGGCATTTTCTGTAGCTCTTTTTCAAGTCCTTTATACTCATCCTCTAATGCCTTAGAGGCTAGTCTTTTCATGGTATTTCTTTTCCTTGTATAGTCTATTATCAAGCCTCTGGCATATGCCTTCATTGTATCCCATACGTTCTGCATTGATGTATCTTCTTTTTTGTTTTCTCTAAAGAAGAAAGCCAGTTCTTTCTCCATCCACTGTATGAAGTCTTTTTCCTTTAATATAGTATTATTTAACGTCCATCTAGATCTTCTTCTTTGTCCTTTCCATTTAATTGTCATTGGATTGTGATCTGCTCAAGTACTTGTTTCAATATTTATTTCTTGAATATTAGCTAACAATTCTGTTGACATCCGTATCATATCTATTCTGGACCATGATAAATGTCTGTTTGAATAGAAGGTGTATTGTTCAGTCTTAGCATTTCTTTCTCTCCATGTATCTTTTAAATTTATTTCATCTATCATTTTAAAAAAGGATTTAGGGAGAGTCTTTCTGTTTTGCTTTGTTGTTTTCTGTGCTGTATCCTCCAATTTGTTATCTACAATTCCATTAAAGTCTCCCATCATACTATATTAGCATAGTCCAGGTCAATTATTTTCATATGTAATTTTCTATAAAATTCTTCTTGATTGTCATTCAGGGCATAGATTGCAATCAGGAGTGTTTTCATATTATTGTCCATTATTTCTACCATTAGTAATCTTCCATCATCATCGGTATAGATCAATTTCGCTGGGATAATATCTTTAATGTATAAAACTACTCCTCTTTTCTTGTGTTGTGTCAAAGAAGTAAATATTTTCCCTAATTTTGGCTGTATCAGCAATTGTTCATGTTGCTTTTTAATATGTACTTCTTGTAGGCATATTATATCAAATTTTAATTTCTCTAATTTATGGAAATTTTCCTTCTTTTAACAGCTGAGTTAAGTCCATTTATGTTAATTGTAATCAGTTTTTTTCTCTTCCATGGTTATATTTTGTAGTTAGGTTTAGCAGCTCTCGTAGATCTTGGTTCATGTTGTTCTTTGACTTCCACCTTTCCGCCTACTGCACCTTCTTCCTTTTCAGTCGCTATTTGGCAGTCCTCTTAGAATTCAATTAGTGACATTTCTTTTTCTGCCTCCTCCTCTTTCCCTCCAAAATATTCTGTATAAAATAATTCAGCTTTCTCAATTGAGTCAATTCTATGCCTCTGTTCTTACCATGTAAACATTAAACCTTCTGGAATCAGCCATCTATAATTCACCTCTTTTTTAAGTAGAATTTTAGTCAGAAATCGGTATTCTCTTCTCATCTCTCTCACTCTTCTGGGTACTTGTTTCAGGACCACAATCTCCTTGTCTTTATATTTTAATGTTTTCTCTCTTGCTACTTGCAATATTTGCGTTTTAATGGCTTTCTTTGTAAATCTGATGTGAACTTCTCTTGGTAAGCTATTTCTCATTGCATATCTTGTGAAGACTTGATAAACCTCGTCTATTCCATCCATCATCTTCTCTTTAGTTATTTCCAGAGCTTCAGCCAAAATTTCTATCATTATCTCAGCTAGGTTTTGTCCCTTTTCTTCCTCTATGTTTTGGAATCTGAGATAAAATTCTGATCTGTCCATCTCCCATCTCAACATCCCACTTTTATCTTGTTCAACCACAGTTAATCTGCTATCAATATCTCTAATCTTCTTATCTCTTTGTTTGACTTCTTCAATTTTTTGGAATCTCTCATCATACTTCATCATCATTTGTTGAATGTTCTCCACCATTTCATCCATTTTTCCTGTTCTTTGTTCAATGTTCTCTGTTCTCTTTTCAATATTCTTTGTTCTTATTTGTATATTTTGAATTCCTTGCATAATCATCTGCAGCGTCACTTTTTCCTGTTCTTTTTCTTGCTGTAACATCATCTGTATTGAGCGTTGTCCTCCAGATGGTGAAGAGGAAGAAATAGAAGTTGAGGAATCAGGGGCTGTTAGTTTCCTACTCATTTCAGACAATTCAAAATATTCAGGTTCTTCTAGACCTTAATCCACTTGTGAAATAACCAATTGTAATTCCAAGTAAAAATAGTGGGAAAAAAGAAGCCAAATAATAACAATAAGAAGAAGAAGAAAAAAATTCTTCAGGTTCTTGTATACCTTAATCCAATTGATTGGTTAGATAGCAGTAAAAACTCAAAAATGGAAGAAAAGACCATAAACACACACAAAAAGAAAAAAATGTTAAATCCTGGAACAGGCGGAAAAATAAAAAACTAAAGAAGAGAAAAGAAAAGTTCTTCAGGTTCTTCAACACCTTAATCCAATTAAAAAGTCTCAGGTATAAAGGGATGCATAACAAAAAAAAAGAAAGCCACAAAAAAATACCAATATGGAAGGTAAATAGAAAAAAAAATACAAGGGAGGGAGAGAGAAAAAAGAAAAGAGACTACTCCCTTAAAAAAAAGAAAGAAAAAGGAAGGAAATCATTAATACTAAAGCTTTTCCTTTAAAATAAAATGCAAACGTAAAAATTAGACTTCAAAAACAAAAAGAAAGACAAAAACAAGTTCCAAAGGCCAAAGATCCAAATAGCTATTACAAAAAGTAAGCTAGTAAGGAGGCGGTTTGTTAAAGTAAGAAATAGCCCAGCTTAAAAAAAGTAAAAAGGGCACACTGCACTTTGTTTGGTTATCCAAGGCTTTTGTTAAAATTTATAACTCTCTTCTCCAGAGTCTTACCATGTTTCTCCAACAATACGGCCTCCACCAATAGGAAGGCCCAGCATGTTTTTGGGGCATAAAATCAAATTAAGCCCCTCCCCCCAAATTTAGGCCTATCTTAAAATATGCAACATAAGGGGGAAGGGCGGGAGACTTGCCGTTAGGAGCGCCCGGCGGGCAGGAATTCCTTACCACCAGCCGCTCCTAATGGGCGATCATGGCGAAGCGCGAGGAGCTCCCTACTCCCACCAAACACCTTTGCTGCAGACACCTTTGGCACCCACTGCTGTTGCTTTCCCTTCTGCCCATTCCGCCACCACGTTTGGAGCTGGCGCTTCCATGTTTGGAGTGCCGCCGCCATTTGGAGCTCCAAACGCGGAAGTGGCAGCTCCAAACATGACGGCAGGCGATCTTTTTATTTTGGTCCACGCGAAGTTCAGAGCGAGCAAGAGAGGGAGACTGCGATGCCTCCATCTGAGATGGCAACCTCACTAGTGGATCACAACGTGGCTGGAAGCCCGAATCGGCGGGATATGATGGCAATCTTTTTGGAGCGAGAGGAAAGGGAGAGAAGAGTTGCGAGGCGTAATTTGCAGGAGGAAGTGGGTGTACCCCACGGCAGGGAGCCCAAGGAAGAAGGGCCGGTAGGCAACGGAGAGCGTCCCGTAGCTCCGGAAGCAGCCTAGAGACGCGCCCGGGAAGAGGCGCAAATGCTGCCTTGTAGTCCCCAAACCAACTGCGTGCGCCGCCTTTAGTTATGTGCGCTCTGCTCTCTGGGCATCTCCGTGTGACCGTGACCCTGTCCCTTCCACCTGGCGCCCTTGCTGCTTTCTGGCTCTTTAGCGACCGGCTTCGCGTTTGGAACACGTTCGTGTTTGGAGTTGGTTCAATCAATTTCAATCAATCTGAGGTGCAGCTGTAGAGAAATAATAGGCAAATAGTTTCAGATAGCTGGACATGTACAAATATTTGTTTTGCAGTTACTTAATTATGTTTGTTCTTTCTTTAAGGAAACACTGGTGGCTTAGCTAAGGAATTGATTTCACTCTACCCAAAATGTTCTGTGACCATTTTTGACCTTTCTAAACTAGCGGAAGCCTTTAAGAATAATTGTTTGCCTTCAGAAGAGTCCAGGATCACTTTCCATGCAGGTAAAAGTGGATGTGCTGCAACCTTCCATGTGGGTTGAACTCATGTCTTGCAAAGCACAAGAAGCTTTAGCAGGTAGAAAGGCAGACTGGATTAGGAAGGTCTGGTTTTGAAAGGAAGAACAGATTAATCTGTTGAAATAATCTGGAAGACATGGTGCTTTATGAAATTTAAATAACTTATTTTTTTGTAGGTGATTTTTTTAAAGATCCCATTCCTGAAGTAGACCTGTACATTTTGGCCAGGATTCTGCATGACTGGTCGGACGAGACCTGTTTGCAGCTGTTATGCAAAGTTTACCAGGCCTGCAAACCTGGTAGGTATCCTTTAATCACAGAAAGTTAAATCAGCTAGGAAACTGGCAAAGTTCATATACGGCTCACGTTTTCAGCTTCCTGAAATCTACTATAATTTTAAATTCATGATCCAACTTTTCTGAGCCTTGAATTGGCATCTTAGAATAACTAATTCAACTATAGTGCTGGAAAAATAATGGTTCCAGGTTAATTGTAGCAGCTACTTCTGCTCTATATCCCAAAGGACCTGTGTTATGCAGATCAGATTCAGTCATATTTTAGTGGCTGTTCTATGAAAAATGTAACTAGCAAGAATTCTCAGTGTGTCCCTGTGACTCTTTGCTACTTCTTGGCAATATATATCAGGAATCCTTCTAAATGTTGTAAAAATGACTGAGTTGATACGTAATAGCCTGTTCATGGTGGAAGAATATAAAAATAAGCCAATTACAAATTTCAGATTGCTAACTGGTATTGTAGTTCATGCAGTCCAACAGCAACTAGGTGAAAACAAGCTCTTTCCACATGAGCAGAAAGAAAATTGCCCAAAAAAGTAAAGGAATAAAACATCAGGTCTTAACTGACAAGATGATTTTGGAAAACTGCAAGAAATCAACTAAAATGTAGCTTGGATTCAGTACAAGAAGCCATTCAACTCCCTGCTACATGATTGGATAATTCAATGCCTAGAAATAATAGGAGTCAGTAGAAATGTCAGAGGTTGTGTACAAAGATCAAAGGAACAATGGAAAACATCATTGCAAGTCACTGGGCATAAGGTTTAATATCAAGAGAGGAATATTTCAGGGAGACCCACTATTACTACTACTGTTTATCATTACATTGATTCTTCTATCGGCAATATTGAATAACTCAGGCCATGACTATCAAAAATATCTGCCAGGCTTCCTCACCACCAAATAAAAGGTTCTACATTTAGGCAAGAAAAACCAAATGCACAGGTATAGTGTAGGTGGTACATAGCTGAATAGTAGTAATTGTGAGAAGGATCTTGGCATCCTAGTGGACAATCACTTAAATATGAACCAGCAGTGTGCTACAGCTGCCAAAAGAGCCAATGCAGTCCTAGGCTGTATCAATAGAGGGACAGAATCAAGATCATGTGAAGTATTAATACTACTTTATAATGTCTTGGTAAGATCACATTTGGAATATTGCATCCAGTTTCGGTCACCACAATGTAAAAAAGATGTTGAGAATCTAGAAACAGTGCACAGGACAGCAGCAAAGATTATTGGGGACTAAAACATAAAGAACGGTTGCTGGAATTGGGCATGTCTAATCAAAAGAAGGACTAGGGTGACATGATAACAATGTTCCAATATCTAAGAGGTTGCCACAAAGAAGAGGGAATCGTCTAGTCTTCAAAGCACCTGAAGGCAGGTCAAGAAGCAATGGATGCAGTGGTAGGATTCAATTTTTTTTACTACCAGTTCTGTGAGCGTGGCTTGGTGGGCATGGCAGGGGAAGGATACTGTAAAATCTCCAGTCAGAGGTGGTATTTGCCGGTTCTCCGAACTACTCAAAATTTCCACTACCGATTCTCCAGAACGGGTCAGAACCTGCTGAATATCACCTCTGAATGGATGGAAATTAATCAAGGAGAAAAGAACTAAGGAGAAATTTCCTGACAGAACAATTATTGGAAGTTTTTAAGAAGAGATTGGACAATCATTTGTCTGAAATAGTATAAGACTTCCTGCCTGAGCAGGGGGTTGGACTAGAAGACCTCTAAGGTCCCTTACAAAATTGTTATTCTGTTATTCTTTATGTGGATGATCTGAAGTTGTATAGAAAAACACCATCTGAAATGAAGGATTCATAATATTAATTGAGGTATTTTCAAAGCATTATGAAATGTTCATTGGGCTGTTGGAATACGTACTGTAGTAGCATTTTCTCATCTCTGAATAATTGAAATATATATTTTGAAACAGGTGGCGGTGTCTTAATAGTTGAAATACTTCTTGATGAAGACAAAAGAGGACCTTTAGCAGCCCACTTCTACTCCTTGTTAATGTTGATCCTGACTGAAGGGAAAGAACGATCAGCAACTGAGTTTAATGTGCTCCTCCGCAAAGCTGGTTTTCCAAAAATTGAGTTGAAGAAAGGAAGCCTCTATCATATTATTCTAGGAAGAAAATAATGCTGCCCCTGATTCCTTCCTGTTCAATGTTTAAGATGAAATTGCAGTAATCAAAGCCTTGATTTGTTAGTTACAGACAGGTATATTCTACTCTTCTTCCAGAGTCCATAGAGTACATAGCTGATCTTTTTCTTATCACACAATGTTTCACCATAATTAGAGATCCCTGATCATGGCTGCAAAAATCTTGAGAACCAATTCTGAGCAATAAAGGGATAAAGGAAATTCTTACCACATGACAAAAATTGATCTCTTTATAGATCTTCAGTTTTTCCCATTCTGAGATACAAAGAAAATCTCCTTACACACATTAAACAAACGATAAGAGTACAGGAGAAAATCTGATGGATTTTAAGCCACACATGTTGCTTTGCTAATTCAAAAAGCAATTAAACCCTATAAATTCTGCAACACAGAGAATGCAATAGGTACTAACAAGGTGAATAAGAATATTAACTATAGTATTGCAAGCTAGCCACAAGAAAATTAATAGTTAGTGCTGGGAACTCAAGGCTTTTAGATAATGGCTATGGTGAAATAACAATTTCAGAAACGTTCTCTCATTCTTTCTATGCCTAGTTATATATTTCAATGCATATGAATTAACCCAATCAGTAAGATAATTTTATTAGCGCTATATCCTATTAATAGGCTAATTAATTAATAGGCTAATTCAGATATTATAACAATCAAATTTAAAAAACGATTTACCTAGGTTGTAAAAGGAGCTTATAACTTCATTGCTCTTTAAGCTTTTTTATTTCATCACTGGTACTAAATCTGTCAATAAACTTTGTTGCTGATCTTTTAATACTGCATTAGGGTATCATGACACTATGACCGTATCATGACAAATTAATTGCCAGCTTCCAACAATATCTACACCAGTTACTCAATTAACTGGTTTCTGTAGGACTCCAATACATTTGTAACATCCTTCCATAAATTATAGGCCAACTCCTAAAATGCTCTACCTGTCCTCTTGTGGCATGGGAGGGCCTGAAACAATTACAGTACATATATGCTTTTATGTTGTGAATTTTATTTGAGCTGTCCAAACTTAATCTTTTCTCCTTTTTTGGTAATAATGTTAGAGAAGTCAGAAGTTTGTTATGTAGCCTTTCTATTAGCCAAAAAGATATTTCAGGTCTCTTATAACATGCCAGGGTCTTGTTATAACTACTTTCAAAAATAAGTCCCTCCCACATTATGTGTCTGTTTGTTATTCTTGCTGTCTTTGGCCTGAATAAAATATTGATTTGATACATGTTGACTCTCCAAGTTGACAGTCCATCAGCTCTGTCTTTTCAGCCTGCACCTCAAAGACAAAGAGGCTGGACCTTGTGGGTGAACCTGGAATTGGTGGTAGAATTGCTGGTGCCATGTTCTGTGAGCCTTTAAGGACCAGGAGAGTGGTCAATAAGTCCTCTGAATATAACTTTGCCCAGTTTTTATTTTATTTCATTTGTTTGTTTGTATCATACCTTTATTATTTTTTACAAAGAACTTGTGGTGATGAACATACTTAATACTCTTTCCTGCTCCATTGGGCCATCAGGAGTCTTTAAAAAGTCCTTAAAATGTGGAAGAAACTAGGACCTTCAGCAGCAATAGCAACAAATCCATAGTTATCTGATATTTTTTCTTTATAATATTTATTAAAACTTTCAAACAAGTATTGGTCAAACACAAGCTACACAAGGTAAGGAAGAAAATAAAGGAAAAGCAAAAGGTGGAAGAACGGGGAAAGTTAAAGAAAATATAAAAGAAAGAAAAAAGTATAAAGAAGTGGTTTCTGACATTCTTCACAGCAGTTATATGTATAAATATATTTTAATCTTTCTCTATAAATTGCTTAATCTTTCCCTATATACTCTTGTTTGTTTGTTATCTATTCTATTTATCCATCAAAAATCCTAGTAATTTTCTTTATTTTTTTCATGCAAAATGTCTATAACAGACTTCCAGTCAGCAATAAATATAAATAATGTCTTTTTTTCTAATCAAATAAATTAATTTACCTATTTCAGAAAATATGGGTAGTGTTGAATCTTTCCATCGCTGAACATACAGTAATCTCTCTGCTGTGGTAATATATTGAAATAATCTTCCATTGCTTTAATTATTATGATACTCCAATGCAAAGTCCATATCAAAGCAAATAACTTTATTAAGCCAAGTCCAAAATATTTCTGCTACCAGTAGTTTACTGCTCCAATAGTTTGCATTTAATTTGGGGTGCTTTACTCCCCATATTTTTGCTTTGCATAATTGTATATACTACTATACAATTAGTATATCGTTCTTTTCTTTTTTTGGACTCGTAACTCTCTTCTTCCCCACTTCTCATTTCCCCTTCACCCCATAAGCGAGCTACACTTTGCTAAACAACAAAAAATGCTTATTTGAATTTTCCCCAATGCACAAGCCGCTTTGTAACATCACGCACAACTTCCCATCCTTTCTTTCCCTTTGTGTGGCGCCGCTGAGCCGCGTTTGAGTCCATCAGGAGGCTCTAGTCTAGGCGGAGACAGTACTATACCTAGTGTTTTTCAAACCTCAACCTTTTAAGATGTGAGGACTTCAACTCCCAGAATTCCAGGAGGTGAAGTCCGCATATTTTAAGGTTCCGACTTGAAAAGCGCTGCTCTAGTCTAGGGGAAACAAAGCTCCGTGCGAAACTTTGGCCGCAGAAGTTGGCGAGCACGATTTTGAATTAAGGAAGCCTACCGTGCCTTATTAAGCCTGGAATCTGTTCAGGTCGACCCTTCCCATTCATTCACCCTAAATGAATTGTATCGCAATGAGTCCTTTTAATTTTTTATTTCAACGGGAAAAGCATGCTGTTTTAATTGAGACGTTGGAGACTTAATATTTTCATTAGTTGGGTTCCCGTTCGTGATGAAAATCAAGAAACTATCTAATGCCAGAAAGCTGAATCGGTCTTAATTCCGCCCCCACCCACCCCCCCAAAAATATTATGCTTTACGCTTCCGTTTACTTTCTCCATTTGTAAATGAGCGCCAACGAATTCACACTGGAGAAACAGAAATGCCCGTCTGAAAAGTTGAACCCATTCTATTCTTATTCTTAATATTATTTTGCTGCCATCAAGTGGTCATCCAAATGTCTGCAGGTCAGATCCTGGAACGGAAACGATGGTCCATGAAGACAGAACTCTATAACTCTACAAACTCTGGAGAAATAATAATTCTGTCGAATTCCCCCATTTGTCAAGTAAAGTTTCATTGCCAGCCCAAATCTGTTGAGTGTCCCCATTTATTTAGATGAAATTTCAAATTGTGGGAGGCTGAGTTAAATAGTGTCTTTTAGAAGCTCCAAACGCACAAAACATGGAATATCATCAGCACTGACTGTATGCCTATAATCTCATGGGATTTTCTGCATAAGAAAACTTATAATAATGCTATTATGATTCATATAGATTGTATTTCAGACATGTGCTAGTCTATATTATGTTTTTTTGTTTTGCAGTTGTGTTGTTGCTTCGCCCTTTAATTGGCAGAAATAAATATATTTACAAAATATTCAGAAAGTATTTCTGCATAAAATGTTCCCTGGCTAACAATCCTTCTGAGTGCATTAGGACATAATGCTGTTTAGATTGGTATTGTCAGAATTAGAATCATATGACACACTCTATATATACACACACATGCACACACACAGAATATGGTGGCATACATTATGCATGTCAAAGGCGGACAACGTGATGTCTTCAAGAAGTCTAATCCTATGATTAGCTGCAAAGACCTATAAAAGGTGTATTATAAAATCACCATTATGTGCCATCAAATAGATGTCAACTGTTAACAACCACATAGACTTTTTCCAGGATGATTTATCTCTAGCCTGGTTCTTCAGGTTTACCAACAATGCATCCCTTTTTGGCTGCAACTGAGGCCATCCACGCTTTGTTGGAATTATAGTCTGGTGGCACAAAACTCAAATGTATAAAACTTTTACAGCATAAACATCGAATGTTTTTTTCTTTTATTGTAATAACAATTATATGTAATAGGTGCATTGTTGTCATTCTTTTCAACACAGCTCAGACCCTTTTGAAATATGAATCAATTTGATTAAATTTCCTCATCGTATTATGTCAGTGATGGCTAACTTTTTCGGCACTGAATGCCGAAAAATGCAATATGCGCGTGTCCCCTGCACATGCGCCCTGCCCCCCTGTGCATGTGTGTGCATCCCCCGCACATGCAGTCCACCCCTCGCACGTGTGGCAGAGACCGAAGACCAACTGGCCTTATAGATCATCCAAGATATAATCAGTTGTAAATTGCTAGCAGAGAATATCTCTGTAGTAGCTTTTTGGGGTTTTCAACTGGTAAGCCTGTTGGACACTCTTAAGAATTGAACTGGATTTCCTACATGCAAAGTATGTAAATTGAATAAATAAATAAAAGCATGAATTGCATTGCATCACTGAGAGTACAAGAATGGGCCAATTAAAATAATGACCTTATATGGCACTAGACTCTGATCTGAGAAACCTTCCTCGTTTGCAGAATATAGACTGCCTTTGCTAAATATTCCCAGATTAATTGAATTTGCAAGTTCAAGAATCAAAATATAAAATCAAGGACAATGCATCAACCTAGGCTGATTTCCCTCTTCTTTTTCCTGAAAAGGACTAGCTATGAAAAATGGTGATGGGTGGAATTGTAATCGTGTGATTACAGGGACACTATGGCAGCTGCAACTATGAGAACCCATTGTAAGTTCTCCTTCTTCAGTACTAGGCGAGAACTACCTGTACTCTAATCCTTTCGGAACATCCCTCCCCCACCTTAATAATTTGTTCAGGACAAGGTTTGCATTCTATCACACTAAGAAGAAAACAGCAACAGACAGAATGTCAAATGAATAGGCATTTCAAAAAAAGGGAAGAGGCACAAAATCACATACCTAACATAAGATGTATCATAAGTACAGTATATAAATAGCATGGATAATACAAAGGA